GCTATCTAAATAAATTACAAGTTGAACTGACATAAAGATTGCAGTTATTTAAGCAATAACATATCGTATGCCAAGAAAAAAAAAAAAAAAAAGTGTCATTTTCTGGGGGAAATTTTTTTTAAAATTAAATAAAATAAAATAAAATAAAATAATAATAATAATAATAATAATAATAATAATAATAATAATAATAATAATAATAATACAATAAATTAAATATATATAATGAGAACATTTAGTTTTAACTTCTATAAACTTGTTTTGAAATGCATGGGCTACTTAAATGTATGTCTTCTTTTTGTCTTGGTTTTTTTTTTTTTTTGTTCATAGGCCTTCATAATATTTCCATCTAATCTAATTTGAATTGAAATAAAAGTTGCAATTATTTCAGCAATGGAATGTCATCTGCCATCAACAATATAGTGTGTAATGAACAGCGTGTAATGAAAAAAATTTAATTAAAACTCTAAAAATATTCTGAAATGCTTGGGTTTCTTAAATTAGTTTAGCAATTCATATTTCGATCTTCTCTCAAATGCTACCGCTCTTACCTGTGTTTAAAACTGTGAATGTTTGAGCCCATTTTAAAAAACGAAAATAAAAAAGTAAAATCTAACTGAACTTATCAATATTTGCAATTAGATGACTCAAAATTGTATGGCCTTGCTTGTTTGTCTCCACATTTTCCCACATTCAGTATAATTAACTCACTAATTTGATACGACAAAATTACCAGTGAAACTCGAGTCATTCAGATTCAAATCAAGTTCTCATCTAATTAGTGTTCTTTTGGACGCTGTCACGAAATGGCAACAAATGAGCTCATTGGTCACTCATTCCTCGCTGCCCAGTCCTCAGGTAACAATAGATTAACTGGACATTCAATCAATTACCTCAGCGCTCCATCTCCTCCAGCCAAAACAAAACTTAAAATTCAGCACCCGCCCTCACCTGCTCCCCCCATTGCTCCAGGAGTGCGTTGAAATCTCGCAAAACCCCCGAGAAGGACGCCTGACCTTTTCAAAATGGCAGCGACAAGTGTTAGACGTTGGATGCCGGGGACTTGAGCTGACACTGTGAGGGGGTAAAGACAGTGAGCAATGGGAGCAACAAATATTCACGTCACAATATGGAGCGATGTGGAGGCAACACTGTCCATCTTAAAGTCTCCGAAGAGGTTCAGTTTGCTTCATTCAGCATTTCGGCGCGGTACTGAGTGAGCGAGCGTGTTTGTGTGAATGGCAGGTGACAGCCATGGGTATGTTTTGGTTTGGATCGCCAGTTATTCTCGGTGAATGCCAATGAGCAGCTGTCCGATGCTCTTGCGTATGCATGTGTGTGAGTATCTGTCTGTGTGTGTGTGTGTTGGCAAGTGCATGGTCTTCCCTCGCTGTCCCCTTCTCTCGGCGGAAAAATCAATCTGTCTGACACTGGGGCCCTGTTACGCTACGCTAACGTCAGTGGTACCTGCGCCTGGGTGTCCTCTGTCAATCGTAAAGCATTGTCTAAACAGGCTACTATCTCTACTGTGTCCGTCTGGCTTTACCCCTGTCCACGCGGTGTGATGTAGTGTTAAACGTGCATCATGTAACTTTTCTGGCTGAGAGTCTGCCACCTGCTTGTCTTCAGGGACATATTTTTGCTTTTTTGTGTGGAGTATTACACATTATGGCATTGATTATGGATGTTTTTATTGCTTAAAGATCCTGCATTATGCAAAATAGACTCTTTTTTTTTTTTTTATATAAATAATGGTACCTCTCAAAAAACATACCTGGAGTTGTGTTTTCTTTCATTTACACTTTTACACATTTCAGTAACACTTTATTATTAGTCTGTCTACATCTCCAAAGCTCAACACCTACTTTTTATTTTTAATCGGTAGAGTTAAGACATTTTAGGACTGAAATTATGTATGTTATGCCTGAAAAAAATAATTTCCCTCTGGATAGTAAAGTATTATTTATCTGTCCAGCTGTCTATCTATCTAAATAATCCAAATGGTTCTAGTGACAGTGTGTGGAGTTTAAAAACACAGTGGGGCACTTGCTGTGGAACAGGTGGAGTGTTTCTGTTTGAGAGAAGAACTCATCCTAAATATGCAGGGTTTGTGTGTTAAATGTGTGAATGAACACAACTATATATAATGTAACTTGGGCTCTTTCAGATACCTTGAAAAACATCAGATTAAGAAGATTGTACAAATGTATATAAAATTGCAGTACAGGTGCTCTTTGAGAGTGAACTTCAAGTGTGACTCACCTTCTGCAATGAAGGAGTTTTAATACAATCAGTCGGTATGTCTCAGGTTTTTATCTTGCCCATTTACATACATTATAAGTAAGAGTCACGTTTTGCTAAGACCTTAAAAAGCGTACTTTTTTTTAATTTATTGTGAATGGGGTTGCCTCTCCACAGCTCTGACTTTTAACTGGACCTCATGGCATCACCAGTTTGTTTCCATAGTGACACAATCCGTGTATCGTTCATTTGTTTTTCAAAATAAAACCAAATGTCTCCAAAACCAAAATGAAAAAAACGGACAATGATTAATTTTTTCAGTTTTTCATTTTGTGTTTAACTGAAGAATGGAAAAAAAAAAAAAAAAAAACTGATAATGGCCGTTTCCAGTTTCCGTGATTTAAACTGTAATGCCAGACTGAGCCAGGACTGAACCAGGACTGAACCAGCACTAAACCAGCACTAAACCAGTCTCAGTCCTGGTGTCAGTCCCAGTGTGGGCTCGGTCTGGTCCTGGACTCAGTCCTGTTCTGGTCCCGTTTTCAATCCTGGTCTCAGTCCCGGTGTGGTCCCAGGCTGGTCCAGGTTTTAGTCCTTATCTCAGTCCTGGTCTCAGTCCCGGTCTGGTCCCAGTCTCAGTCCCGATCACCCAACAGTGCATGTGAGTGCACCTCCGCGCCCATCCCAACACTCAGTACTGGTTCAGTCCTGATTCAGTCCGGCATCGCAGTTTAAAAAAACAAAAACTGAAAAAATGAATCATTATCCATTTTTTTCATTTCGGTTTTGGAGACAAATAATGAAGTTTATTTTAGTTTATGTAGTTTATTTTAATGTTCTTATTTTTGGTTTTATTTTGAAAAACAAAAGAACAAATGATACACGGATGTGATACTAGATAAATTTGATGCCATAGTGTTGAAGATTCTCATGGACTCAGGCAGGTGCTGGAAAAGTTACAAAGAGAATCATTAATAATGCCTTTCTCATTGTGGCTGACATCCTGAGATCGCTCTTTTCAAAGGTTTTATTTATTTATTTTGTCTCAAGGTACAGGAATTCATTTTACACAGAAAAAGTCCCTGTGCCATAATCTGACATTGGTCTCAGTTTCACGCTGCGTTGCCTTGTCCACAGACCTAAAATATCGCCTTCACCTTTGCTCATTTTGCATTTTTATTTCCTCTTCTGTACCAGGCGTATCTGAGCTGTTTTGTTTGCCTCAGATCTTGGCCCCAACTATAACTTTATACTTGTGTGTGTGAAGTTGTGCGGCGCGTTGACAGCTCACCTTACATCCCAGAGAATTATTAATCGTTGCATTCCCCTGGGCTGTAAGAGGCATTTATATCTGTTTGTGCGTGAGGCTGCCTAAGTAAAACGTGCATACATTTGAGTGTGCATACATGAAATGAATCACTGCAGCGTGACTCCACTTTTTATTTAGACCTTTTTGCCTTGCTAATAATTTATGAGGTTGAATAGGAAATTAAGCAGCTGGTTTTCACACATTTTAATGCAAAGAAAGACATTTTGGAAAGAGAGAGGTGAGAATGGTGCAGTATAAATGTATTTATGATTTAAAGGTTTTATATTAGACAAAATGGACTCTTGTGAGCTTTAAGCCATGTTGTAAAAATATACCTGCAGTTGTGTTTTGTTTCATTCACACATGCACGATTATTAGTTTATTAGTTTGTCTACATCTCCAAAGTTCAAAATGCTCTGTTCCACTTTGTGATGTCATGCAGTGATAGTTTTCAAGTTAACAGCTACATTTTACCTTTAGTTCAGTAAAGACTGACTATTCCAGAGCTTAAAATATCCATTTATCCTGGGCCGGGTTACGAGGGCAGCAGTCCAAGGAGGGACTCCCAGATGTCCTTCACCCCAAACACTTCCCTCAGCTCCTCCTGGAGGACCCTGAGGTGTTCCCAGGCCAGCCGAGAGCCCTAGTCCCTGCTGTGTGTCCTGGGTCTTTGCAGGGGCCTCCTATCGGTGAGACATGCTCTGAACACCTCCCAAGGGAGACACCCAGGAGGCATCCAGAACAGATGCCAGAGCCACTTCAGCTTGCTCCTCGGCGTGGAGGAGCAGCAGCTCTACTCTGAGCTCCTCCTGTGTGACTGAGCTCCTCACCCTATCTCTAAGGGAACACCCAGTCACCCTGTGGAGGAAACTCATTTCGACCGCTTGTATCTGCATCTTAAAATAATCCAAATGATTTTAGTGGAGATGTATGGAGTTTAGAAACACAGTGGAGCACTTCCTGTGTTACCACATGACACATGACATCACAAGGCGGAACAGAGTGTTTTCAGGTTCACAGAAGAACTTAGCCTAAATATTCAAGGTTTGTATATTAATTGTGGATGAAACAAAACACAACTCCAGATATGTTTTTGATGAGGAAATAATGTTATAATTAAGATTACAAAGTTGTGTGAATGTGATTTGGTTGTCGTGCATGTGAAACAAAATGATACACAATTTTTAGAAATGTGTTGTTGCTCTCTGTCTTGTTAATCTATTGTATTGTTGGTGGGCTAAAAATGCAGGCTTCTGTTTCATCATGGATCTTTACCCTCATCCATGTTCATAACTTATCCAACCACAGCACTCCATCACCCTCTGCTCTGGCCTGACCCTTCCTCTTCTGTATTCCTCAGATTCCTCAGATCAGCTACGCCTCCACCGCCCCGGAGCTCAGCGACAACACGCGCTATGACTTCTTCTCTCGTGTGGTGCCTCCGGACTCGTACCAGGCCCAGGCCATGATGGACATCGTCACGGCGATGGAGTGGAACTACGTTTCCACCTTGGCGTCTGAGGGCAATTACGGAGAGAGCGGTGTGGAAGCCTTCATCCAGATCTCCAGGGAAACAGGTAGGAAATATTATTTGCATGAATTAAAATGACTTCAGTTCAGGGTATAATTTGAGTAGTTTTGACAAGATTTGACAAGTATTTGGACTTACTTTATTTGACTCAAAAAGGACAATTGTACTTAGGATGATTTATTTCCTTATTGCAAGTCTGTCTTGAAAATCAGTATTACCAGAAGTTCAAGTAACATTTCGGTGACTGACAAGAGACATGAGGCACCTCTGGTTCAAGTTATAGATCAGATCTGTGGAAAAGCAGGCTCAGAGCAAGTGTGCATGAATTGTTTGACCAATAAAACACTGAAATGAAATAAGAAACAGTTATGTTTAAAGGTCCTATATTATGCTAAATTGACCCCTGTGCACTTTAAGCCATGTTAGAATGTTGTTACCTCATCATGAAGTTCATTCGCACATGTTTAAGTAACCCTTTATTATTAATCTGTTTACATCTCCATCTTAAAATGCTCTGTTCCTCCTTGTGATGTCATGAAGCAGTAGTCTTGTAGGTCACAGCTACATTTAACCTTTTTCCATAGAGTTCAATAGAGATAAATCCAGGACTGAAATGATCAAAATGGTTTAAGGAGTTTAAAAACACAGTGGAGCACTTCCTTTAATGCCACATGACATCACAAGGTGGAACAGAGTGTTTTCTGTCTGAGAGAAGAACTCAGCCTAAATGTGTTAGTGTGTTAAACATGTGTGAATGAAACAAAACACAGCTCCAGGTGTGTTTTTGATGAGGAAACAACATTATAACTGTAATAAATATACCGTGATATGGGCCCTTTAAGCTCCAAGTAGCTACAGTAAACAAGTACGTAAATATACTCCAAATAGAATTAATATTCTGAACTGAAGTCGTTCAAGACTCATATAGGTATTCGTGTTACACAATGCAGACAAACGTTATAATAAGTGGTGTGGAGCTGTTGGATGATGGCTGGATTTGCAGACTCATTTGAAGAGAGGGACTAAAGCGAGAGGGGCCGGACACTGTGGGAATAGTTAAAAGGGCTTCCAGGAATAATTCAAATGAGCCGAGCTTTGATGTGAGATGTGAAAGAGTCAAATACACTGCACTGATAGAGAGAGATGGTACTGTAACAATAGTCAGCTAGATCTACCACTGTCTCAGAATCTGTGATCAGCTTCTGCAGCTAATGACTAGACTAGGAATCTTTTTTATTCTTTTCTTGTTGTGCCCTTAAGATTCTTCAGACAAATCTTATCAGGTTAAGCTGCTAATATAGCTACTTTTAGAAAATCAATTCTTTCAACTGGACAATGGTTTTAAACTTTTAAAACTTTAAACCTTTGTCCAGTTGATAGAATTGAATTTTTCCTTTTTTGTGGATCATATCTGGACAACTGAGGGATTACACAGACACTTCTACAGTTGCTGACCTTTGTTTCTTGTGAAAAGGTTGTTTACAGATCAAAATGTTCCCAAATACTTTTGCTTTTCACAGAAGTTTCAAACTCAACTTTTTTTTTGGAGCTTTCTATCATGTTGTAATGATTTCTCATCAAAAACATGTCTGAGGAGATGTCATCCATGCATGTTTGAGTAATTTAGCGATCTCTCTCAAGTCTATTTGAATCCTCCTGATGTTTAGCAGTATGATCCTATCCCAAGCTCAGCCCACTAGTGCTCTGAAGGGGGAGTGACTTGCACAGAGAGCAAAAGTTTTCAATGAATATAGCATTTTCAAAACAGTAAAAGGTAACATAGTGATCTAAATATGTTACACTAGCAGTTTCCTACAGAAGAGTAATACTCCCTCTTTAAGACTTTTGCAATTGTCCTTCAAAGTACAACACAAACATTACCATTTATTATCATTTTGCATCATTGCTCATTTACTGAAGTATTTTTAGAAGGCCGATATGCTGCTTTTATGTCGTCTCTTTTGCATTTACAATGATGGGCTGTCTTTTGAAAGGAGACTGATCTGAGTGAGATACTGAGTGAGAGTGGAGGAAACCTGTTGTTTCCATCTCAGAAAAGTACAGCTGAGGTAAATGACGGACTGAAGATTACAGAGCAGACAGGGGGCTGAACACGAGCTCATCGCAGCCAGACACTGATGGACACGTGTTATCTTTTCATAGTCTGATAGTCTGATAATGGTAGAAACTGGGCATGTCTCCATAATTAATCCAAATATATCGACTTCTCATTTAATATATTAACATAAGTTTTGAAGCTCAACATTTATCTTGCATTTGTGAGGATGCTTTGATGTTGTTTTAGCAGTACAAAAAGACTGAGCTGTTGATACTTGCAGCTGATATCATCAATATTCCCTGTGGTGTGATGATAACCGAAGGTACTGCTCTGTCTGAAGATCTGCTACTCGAGTCAGACTTTAATCTGAGCTTTATTTTAACACAATCTGACCAGAAAGAAATGACTTAGCATTAGTCCATAGTTTTTCAGTTAGTCTCTCTCAGCTTTTAGTTGAAAATCAAAGATCTAAACAGGACCATGAACGCTCGTATCGTAAATCCATTTAGTATTTTTATTGAGTTTTCAGGCTATCTTAAAATGTATACTGGCAGTGTTTGCTAATACGTGCATTGTAACTCCATGGTAACTGGGGAATATTCCACCATTTCACATACATGTACAACACCCCCAGCACAATGTCCCTGCAAAGTATCAATAACTAACTTCTAACATATTGCATATTTTGGGTTTAAATTGTTTACCGGGATTGTCCTATTTTTGGATTATTGTGTCCTAAAGTTGTTTCCACATTATTGTTACATTTTTCTCTAGCAATATATCATCAAAATGTATGATCATGACCATAGACTTTATAAAAAAGTGGACTAAGTAATTGTGACGTCACCCATAGTGTTCAGCACCACTCAAATGAGGCTTGCGATGTTACAGTTACAGGAGCGAATTTGGAGCCAGACTCAGTATAATGAATATGATTTTTTTGATGTACAAAATGAAAAAACAAACAAAAATACACCAGGATCATGTTGTTGCGGGCTAATACGAACATTTTAAGACCAAAATAACGAGGCTCACAGCAGCGATTACACAGAGAGGGAGCGACAAGATCCCACTGTAAATCAATTGGAGCCAGGGTCATTTGGAGTCAGAAGAGCCACATGTGAATTTCCTGTTTGGAACACGGTGACTATCGCATTAGCTATGCCCATTTATATACACAGTCTATGATCATAACAGGCCTACAGTAAGAATCAGTATTGGATGTTAGTATGTTTGTATACTGGTATTATATTACTCCAAAACCCCATTGTTTAGTGGTCGCAGCTTGTGGTTAATAGCTTCTTGTGTAAAGGCATTTCTAAGTGATTTATGAATGGTTTAATCGTGGGTTAATTTTGTGGCTCTTGGAACTATAAATCATAACTTGTACAGTTGGGGCTGGCTCTGTATTACACAGATACATTACTGCAAATTTTCACAGAGGAGGCCAAAATGAGGTTAATCTAAAGGGCTTTGGTAAATAAACACTTGCATTCATCATTTCGTCATTTTTCATTTTTTTGTTTTCCCATCTAATCTGTTATCTTGAAAGAAGCCATTATTAGAGGGAGAGAGAAAGAGATCTTCTTTGAAAGTGAATTATTAAGATGTTTGAAAGTGATGAGTGAAAATGTATTTAGTGAAATGTTTTGGCCTATACGCCTTTGTAGCTTTATTATTTTTTGAGCATTTAACCCTGAGAATATGTTTCAGTCTTAGTTTTGGTACAGATTTTTTATGATTTAAATGTTTTTATTGATGCGTTGTGCTCAAATTGCTCACTAATGGCTGCTTATGTAGTGCCATTAAATTTGAAAGTGACTGATGGTTTGTTTAATCTTAGGTTAATATTTTGGGTGACACAAAATTCATTAATAAAATGGGGACTGGCTTCTTACCAGCTCACATTCACCTTCATTATGCAAATGGATACTCTGCCCCTTAGCTTATGAAATTATATTTTGTGGTTTGTAATGAGAGAAGTTATTAAATTTGGTAAATGGTTATTAAACAATTAATTAATTAATGGACAATTTAAATAATTTCAAGCACCTTTATTAAAATCCTTAGGTGTGTCGATTCTTCAGCTTTCAATAAATATGTTGAAACAGGTGCCAAGATAAGTCAGAGAATATGCAAATATGCATGTTTTGACCAATAGGGCTCATGATCCAAGTGACCATTGCGATCTATGCCATGTTTAAAAATAAATAAATAAATAAATAAATGTAATGATTAATTAATTTATTAATCATTGCATTTATATAGTGCCTTTCAAAACATCCATATAACTTTACAGTTCATTATTTATTCACTCCACACTCTGTGTTGGAAAGATACAGAAGCGAGGCTGCCAATCTGCGCCATCAGCCCCTCTGACCACCACCAGCACTCACACACACTCCACTTTCTTACTTGGCAATATGGGTGAAGTGTTTTGTTTAAGGACACAACAACAGTTTATGCCACTGGCACCTTATACTGCAGCAGTGTCCCATCCAAGTACTAACCAGGGCTATTCTTGCTTAGCTTCTGAGATTTGACAAGATCAGGTTTTAACAAATCAGTATGGCCATAATTATGTTGAAAAGAAATCTCTGAAGCATTCAAGTAGGCACTATAATTTATTACTTTTATATAACAGTTATTTACTTTAATGCAAACAGACTTATAAAATATAACAGAAAATGTCTCACTTCAACCTGTTTATTAATGCAACTTACATTAGAATTTTCTGGAAATGTTTGATACTCAATCTGGTTGCAATAATAAAAAAAATATGTGAGGTGTAACATTAATTTCAGTGAATATTGGTGATTTTAGGTTCGCAGAGTAAAAGTTATTTTTATGACACTTGAAGCCCAATTAAAACGTCACATACTCCACACTTTTATGCTCCACTTGTTACACTTACCACTTGTTGTTGTTGTTGGTTTGATTTTGTTTGCTTGTTTAATGGCAGAACATAAAGGATCTTTGGAGTAAAC